GACAGGAAATAAAGATACTATTCCCACTATAAATGCTGTCTATTTGAGCAGGTGAGATGAAAGATCTCATACAATTGCTCATTACATTGTATTAGCCCTCCAAGGGTGTCAGCAGTCTCAGCTCTCACTGATAGTAGTGGGTGCCCATGTTGATCAGGCTTTGTGGGTGCAGGTGATGGCTTCCAAAATGCCTCCTAGGAAGACAGGATAACTTCCACTTAGAGGAAAATTAAGAGGCAATGGTTGAATCTCCACTTTCTTTTGCACTCTAGGCAGTTTGGCTGTTTCTGGGTCAGGCACTGCCAGGGTCTGACAGCAACTGGTTTTCGTGCTTCAATAAAGAGGCAGATGAACTGAAAGCACACAACTTTCCACAATTCTGGGTTAAACCAGCTGCTGTGCCTTTAGAAAGGAAGGAGGCAGTTTCTGCATAAATTCTGGACAATTCCTGTTTACTGGAAACTAACCATAAGGCTCCTCTAAACCTCTACAGCATGTTTTCATTCATGAAACCTTTTCTGGTTGGAAAAAGATGTGTTTATATGTACTGGACTGAGGATGCACTGAAGACATGCTAATGCTAGTGGTCTGTACATGCATTGTCTTCTGTGCAATCTCACAGCCCATGTACCTGTACTTCTCTCAAGGGAATCTAAGAGTCAAAGGACAGTTGTAGGATGGGTGGCATTCACTGTGCGTTCAGCCTTTCATGGGCAAAAAAAACAGCATGGGACTGACACTTTGAATGACTATTCTAGATCTCCTTGCAAGCTTTTGCAATTTTCCTACAGAGGAAAAATCTTCCTGCACATTTATTGGCATTAATTTCTACTCTGAGTCCCAGAACTAAGTTTGAATCAAAGCATTTCTTCTAGAAAAAAACATAAATCTCACTTAATAAGGCTGGGACCTGGCTCTGTAGTGGATGGAGAAGCTGCTGGAATAAGGGTAGATTTGTTTTTCTCCTGGGTGGGGGCCAACAGGAAAGATTTCATGAGATGGAGGAGAGCTGAAGAAAGTGAAACCAAGCAGGCAATTTGCTAGCTGCAATCTCTGATCTGTGGCAGTCTGCAAACAGAATCACAGCTCTGTGATTAGATGTACATGCTCATTATGTGTTGTACTCTCCAAGCAGGCATTGTACATACAGTACAATGTATTCCACTTCCTTCTGCCCAAATATCTTTTTTCATCTATATTGCATTAAGACCTTGAGGCCTATCATCGGGGAGAGAAAAAATACAATTTTCTTATTGTACAATGCATTTCATTCCCAGCTGCTGTATTAAATTTATTCCTATTTGAAGTGGTGTCTGAGAGTATAAATCATTTAAGTTTATATGTTTTTGTTGCTGTGGCAACTGTTTGACTAATTGAATTCCAAAGTGTCTCTCTCTATTTCAAAGCTATGATAAAGGGCACACATATTCTTAGCAGCAGGAGTCTGAAATGAGAAGGGGGGACAGGCAGCCCTGTCAAAATGACATGTCTTCCATCTCCTGTGCACAGGCTTAGCAGCAGCACCTTTGGCAATTGGTAGGGAGGAGGGCAAGGGCGATGGAGGAGCCACAGCTACCTGTAAGTTCTCCCTGTAAGTACCATACTCAGAAATGTTGTTCATGCCCTTAGTAGGATGGAGGCAGCATGGAAAGCCTGTGACTGAGGCATTGGGAAGGTCATGTTTTACCTCTGTCTCTGTTTCCCCATCATTCATCAGTTCTCAATGGACCTGAGTGCTGGAGTACTTCATGGTTATAAACAAACCCAAGTTATAATAAGCCCATAGCCTCATTTGTAGAGTCCAAAATCTACTTTATCATGTCTCATCTTCTTTCAATGGGGACTTCTTTTGTCCCCCCCCCATCTTCTTTCCATGGGGACTTTGTATGAGCTCCTGAGGCTTGTCTACTAGCTGGGATCATGCATGTATTCCTAAGGGATTTCTTTCCCTGTCGGCTTTTAGCTGGAAAAGGCTCCTCAGAGCTATGGCAGAGGACTAGGGAATACTGAGGTGTCCAGAATCTCCCCCAGGGAACATGCTATTTCTACCCTGCTCTGTAAAATTTTTTTCCAGCTGCAGAGTAGACATAGGTGTCCTCCTAGACTGAGCCACGAGGGCAGAAACATTAAAACTTAGCTCTTTGCAAGGAAATTTGTCCCAGGAGGATAGAAGGAACAATTCCTTTGCAGGCAGAAATTTCCAGGCAGGAACTGGCCTGCCTGTGCTATTCCCAACTTGTTCTGGCCACTTCTGTTAGCCCGTAGAGGGCTCCTTTTTTGTGCTAATTATGTAGGTGTTTATTACAACCACAAAATGTTAATAGACAACCTAATGGAAATCATGCTGGCTAATGAGAAGCTCCTGAATACCTTCTGCTTTTCTCTGGGAATAACAGCAGTCACAATTCAACAGGAAATAATTTCGCCCTCTCCTGCTCCATACTTTCACCTTGTGATTACATCACACCCTTAACCTTTAGTCTGGCTCTCTCTGCAACTTGGGGGAGGGCCAGGACCTCTCCCTTCCCTCCATCTACAGGGTATGCAGGAGTCTGCTTGCCTTTCCTGCTTTTTAAAAGGTAATCTGTGAAGGGTTCTGTGGAACTTGAAAAGGTTGCTCTGTGCTCCTGAGCCGATTCAAGGTGGCTGTGGCAGGAATGAATTACAGAGAGCCTTGAGTGGACCCGGTTGCTCTTTCACCCACCCTCCCACAAGGAATGCTCTCCAGTCTAGGACATGTGCCTGTAGACTGATAGCCCAGTTGTTAGCAGCATCAGCTGCTGTTTATTTTGGTGTGTTTTTATTCCCAGCCCATTAGGTGCTCCACCAGCCGCTGCATGCTCATGTAATCACTTCATCTTGGATAGGCAAAGACAAATTGCAACAGGTACCGAGAAGAGGCAGAACCAAGTGACTCCTAGGGAATTTGGTCAAATTGTGAAGGTGTTGGTTGGTTGGTTGGTTGGTTGGTTTGTTTTTCTGTATTGTATTTTTGATGAATTTCCAAAGGTCTCTATCACATAAATGCCTTAAATCAGTAATGAAAGGGAAACCTGTCCATCAGGCTGCCTGGCCAGAGCTAATGTGGCTAAAATGCAAATTTTCAACTTCTGGTTTATTATTCTGATGTAGAGAATGGAAAGGGAGGAGTGTTTGATGAGGGATGAGAGTGTAGCCTGGTTTGGGGGCTCAGAAAGCAGCAGGAACTAATAGCTAGTGCTGCATTTATGGTGAGAAAAGCAGGCTCCTGTTGAACAAGAGGAGTAGGTGGAAGAGTGGTGGGTTTGAGTAGTGGGGTATAGATGTGTGCACTGGGTTGGGAGATGTGTCATACTGGGAGGCTGTTGGTGAGGAGGTGGGTGTATGCTGGATTGGGGATGGGATGTGTAGAATTCTGGGGAAAGGGTGGGTTTAACTCTGACCAAGGTATGCTTGTATGTGCACTTAACTGGAGGAGAACACACACCTCTTTTCCAGAGGGAAGCAAAGGTCTCCCTTAGAAAAAAGAAACTCAACACAAAACAACCAACCAAAAAAAAAAAAAAATAAAACAAAAAAACAAAACAAAACAAAACCAAAACAAAAAAAAAATCCAAATTCAGGAGGCAAAATCTATTGAAGATACTGGTAATCCACATAGTTGAAGCTGTGAATGAAATAAGAGACTCTGTTCACCGGGCAATATGGAAACTCCCAGCTGGGACCAAGTTTCACAATTTTTTCACCTGTGGGCAGAAATTTTATGCTTCTGTCTTTGCCTGCCAAAAATAATAATTAAAAAAAAAAAAAAAGTGGTCTTACTGCTGCATAAAGAGCCAAACATTTCAGTAAGACAGCCCACCAGGGAACAGTTGTGAAAACACCAGATTTCATTGTAAAGGTGGGATTTCTCAACGGTGAGGAGCTGCAAATGAAGCATGTTGTAGGGTCCATATGGAGTTGCTTGTAGGAGCTCAACACCAGGCTCTTGGAAGTATTTCAGAAGAGGCTTTCAGGAAACAGCAGAAAAACAGTTCTAAAGGTTGGCTCTCAGTAATACATAACGCTGTAAAAATAGCATCTGAGTATCTCCTGTTACCTGGGCACTGGTACCCAGATCCTGTCAAATGATTTCTCTGGCATCCGTTCTCCCTGCTTGGACTTTAATGGGTTGTGCAGATTATTTTATGATCAATAAATATCCAGGCAGACACTGTGAAATTCCAATCAGAAAAATTTACAACATTAAGGCAGATATTGTATAGCAGGATATAAATAAATAGAAATTGTCAGTCAAATTCGTGGCAGCTAGAGTCTGGTGTCAGTTGCAGTAAATTAAGTGTTACTTCACAAATCACCTTTATGGTTTTGCCCAGTAAGTGTATCTGTGCAGAGGCTTTTTTCAACTGGCAGTGGTAAATACCCTCTGGTCGCTGTGATTTCAGCATGAAGCCAGTGTCAGGATTCTAGAGGAAGCGATTGACAGCAGTGAATTTTGTCATAACCCTGAGTCTTATTCCTAGCCTCAAGATTTACTAGGGGGAGTTAAGTTTAGGTGCTGAGCAATCCAGGCAACAACAAACCAACAACATGATGGGGAAGGGACTGGATTCTTTTAAGTCCAGGAGAGCTTTCTGCACTGTGGGAGGGTTGCTTGATGTAATGATGTGGAGACCCACTGACAGAGGGGAGGAGCAGCATGAACTCCTGTCATCTCTACTAGGATGAAGTGAACTATGGTTGGTGTAGGGTTGTACCTAGGGCTAAGTGGGAAGAATGAATCAGGTCGATAGTGAGACCTCCATTTACTGTAGTTGGAACAACACTTCACCTACAGATTATTACATTTCATTAAGAACAGCTATACTTGCTGGATTGACTAACAATACACGAGTCCTAAAGCATCATCTGGATGTTCCTGCACTGTTGGCATAGCTGGAAACTGCACTGATTTTCAGCATAGACTATTATGAATTAAAGCTGAATGTTTAGCATGGAACAAAAAGGAAAGGAAGACGTGCTAGTGGTAGTTTTGTACTTTATTTGAGAAGAGAGCGCTACATAAACTATGTCAGGAGGGTACAGGTCTACACACAGTTTCATCAATCAATAAATGGAGTTGTTAAAGTAACACTGAGGATATGATACTTTGAAGAAGACATAGACACATGACCAAGGAATATTTACAGCTCTAACATACAATATATTTATATTTGAGAGAGAGAGATTCGTGTGCCTCTGTGCACACAGATACCACTGTGTACACGTGGTGCACGCACACGTAAATAGGTATAAAAGGCTTTAAAAAAAAAACGTACATAATTCAAGAAATGAGTCTGCCTTTCATTTGCAGCAACTGACTATTTTCAAGGTGGAAATGATTCCAGTTTGTGGTGGTCTGGAGTGGAGGTTTCGATTTGAAATCTCTGTTCTCCAACGGTTGTCGACTGAACCTGAAGCAGGTTTCTGGTGTGTGGTACGCTGTGGTGGGGTGGTGATGGGGAGATGTGTGAAGTGAATGAAGGAGAGGGCAGTAGAGTTATGGGGAAGAGGGGATGCACAGCCTCTGGGGCTGGGGCAGTAACACGGAGATGAAAAAAATGACCTTTGGTGATGCCATTAAATCATCCTTTATACTAAACATAAATTATCGACACAGTTTTAAAAAAATAATTTTCTGTTTCATTTCAAGGCTGGGGAGAGAGGAAGGGACAAAGCAGGGCAGGAAGGAAGGGAAGGTCTGGGGACAGTAAATACCTCAGCACTTTAAAAGGTCCCTTGACCTCACTGCAAATCCTTAATTTAAAAAGTCTTCTTGTAAGTCTTACTAACACTGTATCAGTCATCCCCTTCCAGGGTAGCAGTGTGCTCAGTGCACATGATGTGGCAGGTAGGGGAGAAGTGGGACCCTACCTTGACCAATACTCAGATCAGGGTTCCTTATCCTCTGAGCGGGAGCCAGTGGAATTGGGATGGGCAGGCAGAGATCACAAACACCTTGCTCTCACCAGGTTCTCCCTTGAGGGGTAACCTGGGTTGTTCCCAGCAGGGGAAAATGGTGAGTTTTGATTTAGAGAAGGGGAGACTTCAGGATGGAAAAAGTTGAGAACCGACAATTCAGTTGCAAAGTGGCAAATATGATTCAAATGATGAAAAAGAAGCCTCAAACTAAGCAAACATGGATTGATGTATGGGGTAAAAAAAGTCTGCCAAAAAAAATCAATTCAGCAAACATCACCAGAGGATTTGTTTTCTGCTCATGCAGACTTTCAGCGACATTAACTGAGATTAAAATAAGCTGGTTTAAATAAAAGTAACAACAAAAATGCCATCAAAATGTCTTTCCTCTGAGATGTAGCCCCATCCTTCTCTCAGTATCTGCTCACCTGCCAGAGTGAGCTGTGAAGCAGCATCTTATGGGGCCAAACCTGTCCGTGTTGTTGAAGGGCTGTTCAGCTGGGAGTAGGAGTAGTTTCCTGGAAGTCTACCCTTGCATTTTTCTTGAGGCTGGGTGTTTCTCCTTGTGGCAGGAGTGCCAGCACAGAAAACCACAGTGATTTCTCTGCCTAGGCCATCACACTGCCACGCAAGCCACTGATGGACAATAATGCTTCAAAACAGATGTCTTGCAGTAATTACTAGAGGCCAGTGCACAATGCAGCCCCTAAACACCATCTCAAACAGCCTGACAGACCCAAGAAAGCCTTCACCCAAGAAGGTTGTGTATCCTCAACCTTTACCTGGGGAAACCTTGCCTCCTTGCCTGACCCAGAAGAGGCAGAGGGAGCTGTAACCCTCACGGAAAGCTAAATCAGTGCCAATCATTTGTCTGCACAAAAATCCTTTATTTCTGTTGAAATAACTTATGTAAAATAGCACTTTATTAAGACAAGGTGGGGGAGGGGGGAGTAATTTAGTGTATTTATTTATTTATTTTTATTCTGCTTTAAGCCTATGTATAAGAAGCTCTCATGCAAAAAAATGCCTCCCAATTTAGCTGAAAATTTAAAAGACACTTCTGAAAAAAAGAAAAAAAAAAAAAAAAGAAAAAAATAGGCAATTCTCCTTCACACAGAGAATTGGCTGGGTATGGGGCTGAGCAGGGGGAGTGAAGGGAACTAAAACAATCTAGCCTGCTTGTACTAAAACCAGAGCCATCAGAGAGCAGAATAAATGCAGTGAAAATTATGGTATTTTTAAATGTTTGAAGCAAAGAAGGTGGGCCTGGGAGAAGCCCAGCAAGGCTGAAGGTTTGGAGAAACTATCAGTACTCATTTAGATGATCACACATCATTTTGTAGTGACTGTTTCCTCACATCCATAGTTCTTCTCCAACCAGAGCCCTTTTGTGCTTTGCCACAGTTCACATCTGACTTTCACTATCCTAGTCCTTGACTATTTCTTTCCTATCCCTGTGTCCCAGTAGGCTTCCTTGCTCCCTTGCCTTAGCACCATTTGTTCTCTGAACTCCTTATTAAACCATCTTTGCCATCCCCTGCAAGCTCATCCTTTCTGACTTGCAAATGGCCCAAAGCATCAGATGTCTGGCCTCAATTCCTCATTTTTGGTATTGTTACTCACAATTTTGAGGTCTTGTGTCTCAGGCACTTTCCAGTCATCACTGTCTCTGAGTGTCCATCCAGATGTCCCGTTGTAGTAACTGCCAATCACAGCTGGGGAGTATGTGGGAGATGGGACACAGAACAAATGCTTCTAGGAAGCAGCATGTACTGGGCAGGAGGGAATAGTCCAACTTTCTGGACCACCTTTCTGGATTTTCTTCCTCACACAAAACTTTAAAGATGGAGTGCGCTTGCATGTTTCTTCCCAGTAGCTTCTCACCATGATGATGAGGTTCAGGAGATCTTCAACCCTGACTTGAGGGTTTATTTTCCTTAGTGTGATCCAGGAAAGCAAGTGGGTTGAAATCCCAAGTATGCAGGCTGAGCAAGTTGGATACTGAAGTACCTGCCTTTTTTGTATGTGAGATATGACTGCTTCTCCATTTGGAGCCTTTCCTGTTGATGTCTGATCTTCCCTGCATGGCTCTTCATCTTTGGTTGACTCTTCTGACATTTCTCCACTACATAGTAAAGTGGTTTTTTTATGGATTTATGTCCAAATAACTTTCAGGGGCCACAGTGTCATTTATATGCCCCTTTGAATTTTCCAAGAGATTTGTCTGTTTACCCTCTACCAACAGTAAATTTAGTTGATGGCCAAAGCTGAATCACATGATGCTGACAATAAAATAAATACTGTTTCTAAAGGGCTAGTAGTGTAGTATCTCTCCATTTGTCAAACTGTCCCAATAGACAAGAAGATAGGAACCTTTCACAATCCAAATTAGTGTCAGAGCCTTCATAGGTGAAACACCAGTGCAGGAAGAAGTGGGGCAGAGAGTTTAATTCTGAAGGACGAGTGGTTTTCCCCTGGACTGGATTGATTGTTTTGTGCTTTAAACCATCCTGACTCCATCATCTGGAAACAAGATACTGGCTAATGATTTTACACGAAAGAAAAAAAAAGGATGGGAGAAAAGAATAAAGGACGAGACAGTCGTGCCCTGACTGGTGTGGTCATGAGGTCTCCAGTTCCTCCAGAAGGGGAGCTTCCCCTCCAGAAGCGGGGTTCCCCCCGCAGAAGCGGAGCTCCCGCCGGAGGAGGCGGCGCCGCTGTCCGCGGTGCTGATCCGCAGGGACGCGGCTCCCGACTTTGTCGCTGCGATAAAACCTTCACCTTACTGGGAGCTTTTTTATTATTGTTCTTGAGGACTGAACTGGTTTATCCTCATCGTGAACACTATTTGCACCAAACAGGGGTTGTATAAAAAAAAAAAAAAAAAAAGGGGGGGGGGGGGGGGGGGGCACACCAGACACTTGCTACTGAAAAGGTGCTGGACTATGAAGTTGTTATATCATCCAGCAGGGTCTGGCCACTCTCTTCCTCTCCCAAATCTGTCCCTTACCTTAATTTCAGTTTTCAAGAAAGCCATAAGCCAGTATTTGTTCTGTATTAGCAGAAGAAGGAGAAAAAGGAAATTAAAAGTGGGAGGAGGTTTGTAGGATAGAGAGCTGCTCCTGTCCTGATGACAGATGTTCTTGGTTGCCAGGGTGAATATTCTGAGTCTTTTCTCATGTACAGCAGTGGATTTTCTTGTATTATAAAACAACCAATGTCTTCTCTGATATAATGTTTGGGTTTTTTTCTTGTAGCACTTCTCTTCCTCTCTCCTGCTGTTCTGTTCCTAACATCATAGTGATCTTCAGTGCCTCTCAGTATCCACAGCCTTTACTGACTTCAGACAAAGTTGTGGGTGTTCAACCCCTTCAAGGCTTAGCCTGGTGTTGCACAAGAAGGTTTAGTTACACAGGAACAATTCAGGCCCTTGATGATTATTTCTATTGTCTCAATCTAGCTATGTAAGAATGAGGCTGGACTTGAACAGATCACAGCCAGAATCAATCCCAACCATCTCTCCAGCAATCAGAACAACCTGCTGGGAGCTGAGTAACTGCCGAATACTTGGTGAGAGAAATTACAGACATAAAAACAAAATCAAATAGACTCCTTGTGCTCATTCAACATTTCAAGGCATATTTATAGGTACTGCTGCATGGCATCTTAAATATCTGAGTTTTAAAAGAAACAGGATCACTTCTGTCTGAAAAAATATTTTTTCTGTTCTGTCACTTTCACTGTCTTTGCCCCTGATGAAAAAGGGGGAGAAAGACACTGAATTACACATCCATTCAGCCCCTGTCACTTCTTCTTCAGGCTGTTTGGATACCCTTGAGATGGATCTGTGAAGATAAGGAGATCTGAAGGCCATCTGAAGGTCATTCCTCAGAACTAGAGTTGGAACAAGAAAGCTGGGAAGAAAGCTGCTCATGAAAAGCTGGGAGGTTCTTGTGGTATGAAGCTGGAAAGGGCCTAGCAGGTGAACAAGTGACCTTGCAGTCTAGGTCCTAGCTGAGTCCCTTCCTTAGACTGCTCCACTGTATCCCTGCCCCCCTGCTCCCAAGTCTTGCTGTCACTGGAAGGAAAAGCTGAAAAAAAAATCTTAGTACTGATGAAAATCTCTACGTAAGGGAGATAATTCCACTTTATCTTTTCATTTTACTTTCAAGAAGTCAGAAGACTTGGGAAGAGAATTTTTTGGATTTTAAGGGGGAGAATATTCTTCCAAAAGGTTCACAGGAAAATTGAACAATTCATTATAGAGAGATGAGGCAGAAAGCCTACAGCTGCCAAGGCCAGTGCTCCTTAATGGTCTGGGAGAAAAAGCACTGAGCAACTAATAGCATTTTCCTTGGGAACAGTAGTCAGTGAGCCTCGGGTGGGGAACAGAGTAGGAACAAAGCTAAATCAGCAAACTCACCATTGGTCCAAGACCAGAAGCTGAAACTTCTCTACCACATGCCTGAGACTCAAGTGCTGTGTAATCTCTGTGACACAGACATCTAGGAACTATTGTGGATAGCAGATGGCCACTGAATGGTGAAAGAAGATGATGGATTCTGGGCAGTGAAAAATCAGAAGACCTCAAATCCTGATCACAAAAGTCAGTCCTTGAGATTAAATCAAACTAGCCACCTGAGCAGAAGGGAGGCACACAGCGTTGAACAAAGCCAACATACTACCAGGCATGGGAGGGCTCCTGTAAAAAGCTCCAGTTCCCTTCCACGTCCAAACACACATACACACACACTGCCACATACAGCAAAAAATATCATTATGTGTTTCCTGAAATATGGTTGGCTGAATAAATACACTTACAGAGAACTCTTTGTAAAGCAATAGCAGAATGAGTAACAGTGCATCGCTACCATGGGAAATAAAAAGAAAAGTAACCCAACTGCAATTCAGCCAGAATCGTTCCAAACCCCAAAGGTTAGCCTCTTTTTTTTTTCTTTAATGTGTCTGACATTTTATGGCATCAATAATGCAAACAAAGAGGAAATCATATTTGCAGAACACTAATGCACGGATGTCTAAAGCGAAATACAATACTGATTACTTTTTAAATGAAGCCACCAGGTTTTGATGTGCTGTGGTGGTTAAATTGGTCCATCAAATTCCTTCCAAAGCAAATTCCAGTCCAAAGCAACAGCTTGACTTTCTCTATAACCTTGGGTAGCCTTTTCAGCTATATTCTGATTGGGGGTAGTAAATGTTAGTTTGAAGCAATCTTCCTGATGGGCCTGATTGCAGAAATTTTAGGGTCACATAACTCCATCTGAAGATGAAGGGGAAACTACAAGCCTGTTTCCTCTTCATAGGCTATCCAAAGCCTTTGACAAATCGAACAGTACACCTACTATGAAGAGCTGTGGGTGAGAGGATAGGTGGGTTCTGAAAGAGATTTCTAGAAGTACTGTTGAGATTTTGTCCCTAGGGTTAGTGGATAATCTGTTCAGCACCTGATAGCTTGTCTCTTGCCTAGAACCTCCTGCACATGATTGCAGAGCAATGTCTGAGTATGAAAATAAGTGTATAAGAAGGTGTGGCAAAAACACAAAGCCAAAAAAACCTTCCCCTTCCTCTTCCATTTTTTTTTAGATGCTAGTGTCTTTTTCACAAAGAAGTGCATCTCAGAGATGCATCTTGAGAACCACAGACAGGATTGTCTCTACCCACACAAGAGTGAAGAAGCTGTTGTGCTCCTGCCTGGGAAGTCTTGCTGCTCATCCTACTCTTTCAGCAAAAGACAAAAGGGCTTGGGGTCCAGCCTATGCTTTCAAATTAACAGTGGGAGCATTCAGTTCAGGAGTCAAGAGACTTCTTTTGCAATGCCCTCTGACTTGACTGAAGGAACTGTGTGAACTTCTTTAATGCATGCAGTTTTGGTTTAGTAGATAGAGTTAATAGTGTGCCTGTGTGCTGGTGAGTAGGATTGGCTGCCATCATCTCGCATCCTCTGGGAGTTGGTTTGCCATTTAGTCCTGGATCACATCTGATCAGAGCATAGTGTGTGGGGATTGTATGTGTTGGAGTTAATCAGTGCAAACAGCTAATTGCCACTGGTTAACTAGTGCTTTTTAATTAGGACTGTGTTGCTGCATGGATACGTGAAGGGAGCTGTTTGTCACTGGCAAAAAATGTCAGCCTTGTGATGTAAACTTCTTCAGGGAATTAAAAAAAAAAATACAGGCTGGAGCTATTGACACTTTAGAACAGTAGAAAATCAGTTTCAGCAGAACTGGCCTGGATGAGGTTAGAGTCATGCTCTGCTGGGGTCAAAAATGATAGTGGCTGCTCCCCGACCCTTTCTCCTGTGCAGAAGGGTGGGACACTGTGGGCTTCAGCTGGGATTTACAGGAGATACCCCACATGCATTACAATAAGCTTTGCTGTAAAATTCACTGCACAGAGGTTAATCTAGATGTCAACACTGCCTGACAGCAGTGAAATTACTCCGGGGCAGTGCTCCTTCTGAAGTCTTAATATAACAGTCAATTCCATCCTGCCTGCAGGAAATGAAAGTTTTCTGCTTTGTGTGCGGAATCATTCGGCGCCAATTTTCTCACTGTTTGAAGTCCAAACTGTTTGTGGTCTTGGGATTCACCTCACATTAAGACTCTCGCTTCATTTAAAAACTCTGCTAGTCGAGTCCTGAGAACTGCAAGGACAGTAGCCTCACAGGGAGAAAAAGAAGAAGGCAGGGGGAGAAATCTTATCTCACCTACCACATCGAAATCAAACAGCTTCACCAGTTCTCTGTGCTCTAAAAAGTAAGTGAATGCAGAAACTCAGATAAGTATCAAGCAGCAAAGACTGGGAAGGTTGGAAGCCAGCAGAGAGCAAGAGAAAACGTGCAAGAAGACATTCAGATCTCCCAGAGCCATAATTTTCTTTAGAGGTATTTTAGTCCTTCCCTGCTAGGACCTTGTCCTAAGCAGCCAGTAGTTCAGCAGTTAAACACACCCTCAGAACATCTGCTCAAGTTTTCAGCTGTAGAATGAGTCGCTTGTGCTGGGCAGGAGATCAGCTCCTATAAAGGACTCCTGACCGTGTGAGGAAACGGTGGGTAGATTTGTTGTGCCTCCTTTCCCCTTGGAGAGATGCTAAAATTGTGAAATTAGCAGAAAGGAGGAGGAACCAATGATCATTCCTTTAGTCTGAAAGACCTGTCATATTGGGTCTGTGAGAAACTCAAGCCATCAGGATGAAACCAACATAACAGCTCAGCTCCTGAAGAAAGCTGTAAGACTGTGTCCTTCTTATCTCTTTTTGCAGTTCAGTTTTTCAAAGTTGCAAGCAATGGGACTCCTATCAGTTCTCTCAGGGAGCCTTTTCATGGCTCAGTATTGTATAGGAAAGAAATAAGAGTCACGGGAGAGACAGAATGCTCCTGCATTCCTCTTGGAGCAGTGACGTCTCTGCCTGCATCATTTATGACACTGCCAGCCAGAACGGATGTTTTGAAAACACCTGATTTCTCCAGACTTAAAACTCAATATCCCTGTTTGCAAGGAGAATGGCAAAGGGAAAAGGTTTTTAAAGACTTGGCAGCTACTTAAAGAAACATTAAATACATACTGATGTAAGAGACACCTTGGGGCATGAGTGGGAAGGCACCTTAGAGTTAAGCAAGTTTGTCCATTCCTGGAAAGCAGTGCTGAGAGGGGAAATTTCTCCTTTTCTATTTTTGGTACTCATTTGGAGACAGCACTGTTGTGCCAAGGCTCCATGACCCTACCATCCTTCTGAAAGTCACTACATCTAAATGGAGAACAAACCTTTTGGGTTGTACCAAAGCATGCCTGTGCCTGCTGCGTCTCATAGCAGAGAAGCCCTGTTGATATCCATAGCTTTCCAGCTATCAGAGGAGTCACTACAGCATGGTATTGCACCCAGGATCCCATTTATTCAGTTTGCTTATCCTCACCATTGCCTTATGACCAGAGAACACATCTACAGCTGTTACAAAAGCATTGAGTACAAGCCATGGCTGTAGTGGTTCAGTTGATTCCTGACCAGATCAGGAAACAAAGATGGACATATGATGCACCAAAATTCAGCTACTTGCATTGACTTTTCATTAACCACTGGAAGTCATAGTTGGGCAAAGGATGTAAATACTCCCTGACGGGTGGGGAAATGAGAAAGATTTTTAAAACCTTCTTAAGATGGCACGCTGAACAAAGTACTGTCTCCATGCCAAATGACACATAAATGCCTGCTGATCAAGTGCTCCGAGCTACTTCTGGTTTCACGGGCTTGCAGTGACCCAGGTCTGCATCCTTCAACCCATATCCTGAGCTCAAAGAAAATCATACATTTGAGTTCTGGGAAATAAGAGCCTTTAACATGAAAGGAAACAGCTCAAGTAGTGTTATACTTCTGTCTATGACCCTTAAAAACCATAACTTTTTCAGGCCTTCTTTTAGTTGTATTTTCTTATAGGAAAAAAAGAAAAAAAAAATCACAAGAAAGCACAAACCCTAGTGATTTTGTTTTCTGCCTGCATAAGTGGTCCCTTGATTTTATTGGTTTCTGTCTCCTTTTAAAACCAGTATTTGCCCAGCATTATAGCTAAGTTTTCCTGGAGCTTCAGTATTTTGTTTTTGCTTGTATCCACTGTGATACTTAAAATTCTATGCCACACTCCCCAAACCAGTCTCAATTTCCCAACCCAACTTACCTTCTAAAACCAGCCTTTCCCTTTCCTTGGCTTTTTTATTTCCCCACATATTTTCTCACCTTGTTCCACCTACTCCTGGGGACAAGCAGACAGCTCAAAGCTAACAATGTCTGTCAAGAAAACAGCCTCTCTAAAGGCATTCCAGATTTTTCACATTTGTCTGTGCAGCACATGTTCCCAGAGTCACCTGTCTCCAACACCCTGTGGACCCAAGGATAGACCTGAAATGAGGCAGCCCAGGCTCTTTTTCACCCCCAACATATATGCACTGAGGGACACTTTAAAAGATCAGATGGGCAATCTTTGTGGGAGACAGGATGGACTTTCAGTCTGGCAAATCATTGTGTGTCTTCCCTTTGCTACATTTCAGCTTTCATCTTGCAGCCTGACAGGCTGGGGTGGAAGGAAAAGTAACATCTGAAAAAGACAAGACAGGCCACTGGTGAGACCCTGAGGCTGGAGCCACATTTACTGCCCACAGTTTGCAGCCCTGGTATACAGTTGCCATCTGTACCATGCACCAAAAGAGTACCTTCCCCCCCAAGAAAGCACCATTTCAATGACACCTTCGGGTGACTGAGTTTGTGCTAACAATTTTAGTTTTTAGGGAGCAGGATGCAGCTGAGACAGGGAAGACCCCATGGTCCCTTCTCAGCAGTGCTCAACCCAGCGTTCCTCCCAGTTCCCTTTCACAAGCCCCTTGAGAAAACTGCAGATGGAAGAGGCTGGGTGGTGGGAACGTCTGCCTGGACATGCTGGGAATTAGGCCTGGCTTGCCCCAGAGCTGGGTGAGACCTGTCAGTGTTCCAAGGCAGCAGGGATAGCTCTGCTCTTAGTAGAGGTAGGGAAATGGGAAGCATCTCTCCTGGAAATTGAGAAGGAGCATGAACTCATTTCTCTTTGCCTCCAAACAGTCCCCACACCCAGAGTTATGGCACCCTGTGAGAGTTTCCCTCCAAATCTGCTCTTCTTCCTCCCCTCACACACAGCGGGGCCACTCCAGAGCCCATCTTCCTACAGAGAAGAGCCCTATGGCCTGTGCTGATGGGCAGCTCCGCTTCTGGTTCAGGGAAGGTGCTTCTTGAAATGAGGTCTTAGAGGGTGCTCACCAGGAACTCAGCACAGCTGCTTTCCCTCTTCCCCTCCAAAACTGTCATGCCAAAAAGGGATGCAGCAGTTTCCATCATGTCTTTGAACACAAAACAACCTCCTCCTCCCCCCCAACAAACCTCCATCCAGTACCAGCAGGCCAAGGGGCATAAAGCAGCAGCAGCAGCCAGGGAGACATCACACTGCAGCTTATCCTGCTCTTCTGAGCAATTGTTCACAATTAACTTTGACAAAAGGACCTTTTTCCAAGGCAGTCACTTCACTTGGTGAGGGTGAGAGTAAAGCAGTCAGGTAGCCTGAACCTTGGTCTCAGCCACTTCACATCTTCTGGGCACCCATCTCCTTGCCTCTCAGACTACTTATTCCTAACCATGCAGCACTAAGGCTTGTAGCATGCTTGGCTCCTGAGCTCACTGTCATGACCGTACAAAGAGGTGGCAAAAGGGACAGAGTGGTGGTGCCAGGGAGGAGAGGAAGGAGGAAAGAGGAAGGAAGGAAAGGAGGCTGTAGCTGCTGTGCTGAATGGTGACAAGAGAATCTCATCGACTATGGGAACACAGTGTCTGTAGGTGATTTGATAGTGTAAAGGCCCATGACATTGGCCAAAAATAGAAATGAGAACATGAGAGCGAGAGAGGGGTGTGGACAAAGTGGTGGCCTTGCACAATCTGGCACAGTACCTGGGAGTCACAAGAGCAAGAAGCCATTTGGGGTAAGGGACAGGCAGCCCCAGGGAAGAGTTTTCTTTTGGAGTCACTAAGCAATTAACAGCCATTGCTTGTTCTCCCATTGTACAGAATCACCAGTCAAAGCAGCCAGGCCAGGGCTAGCAACCCTTCAACAATCTTTTTCAAAGGTGGACCTAAGTAGGCAGATGAGGAAAACTGGATGTCCTCTCCCAAAGGAGCAAGATCCTGCTCTTGAGGGGTGGCATGGTATGCTGTTCCTGTGTGCAGACTCCCAGCGCCGGTCCACACTCTTGTCCCTGACCATGCCATCTTTAGTGTCCATGCTGTGAGCTGCTGGTGGCTGTTCAGTGGCAGTTTGTCCAGCCTCCCTTCATTGGCTCGAGTCTGTCCCACCAGCCCAGCTCTCTCTAACATGCAGAGGAAGGTTACATCCTTACTCCCACATGGTTACTGCCACACATTATCTCTCATCTCAGGCTTGCACTGCTCTTTACACAAGCACAGAATAAATCCACAGCCACTGCTGCCATCACAAACCTTGGTGCAGTGTTCCCTGCCTCTCTCTGAAGCCATAGGCCAAGTCATGCCAGAGCTGTGGGTGAGAGGTAGAGACTGGTGAGAGACGAGGGGCATGAGGAGAGGATGCAAAATCTTCCTTTTTAGTAGCCAGCCATAATCAGAGTCACCTAGCTCCCCTTGCATCCTGGCCATGAACACTACCCTGGCCATGGGGGATGAGCCAAGATCCCTTTTCCACCTCCTCTTCCTCCATCTGCATTCCCTTCCAGACAAACATCACATCCAAGCAGGCAATTTTTGTGCCAGCAGTTGTTGCCTTCTCAAAATTGCCTTGCCAATGCCTGTGCTGCCCGCTCCCTGCCTCCTGAGAGCAGCTGCCAAGCTGAAGTTCCCCCCCCTTCCTCCATTAGCCACATGAAAAAAAGACCCAGAAAGGCTTTGTATTTTCAGCCCAGTCTGGATGGATGGGATTCAGTGTCTGACTCAGCCTTTCCCCAAGTCAGGATTATTTCCTGCTTGAGGGAGATGAGCTATAGGGAGGATGATTCTGTCTCTCCCTCGCTGTCCCCACCACCCTGTCGCTGCCTGTCAGGCCTTTTTCCTCATTGAGATGCAAGGCTGGCCGCTGCGGCCATCCGCTGAGCCGTCTGCTCCTGAAGGCACCTTCCCCTCCTTCCCCCCCTCCTCCGGGGGCTGCCTGTGGAGCTATTCTTCAGCCTCTGCATTTCACAACAGCTCTAAGGCAGATGCATCAATCCTTTCGGGGGATGGGGACGTGAGGAGAATGCCAAGGGGGCTGAGGGCAGGTGTTGGTAGGTTCCCAGACATCTCACAAGCCTTGTCGCCCTCCCTGTCCCCCGCTGTCTTATGCCTGCGGCTTGGAATGAAGCATGGGGCAGGGATGGGGAAGGGAAGAGAATGGGGAGGAAGAGCGCTGGGATATGCTGACCCCACAGGCCTGCCCAGACAAGATGTAGGCATGCTTTCAGCTGTCTGCACACTGCAGCCTTTCCCCCATGAGGGGAGAAGGGATCCAACCCTGTCTGCTGAAGGTTACACCAATTTGGCCCTGGTGTAGACAGCTGACAGAGGGGGAACAACCCCATGACCACTAGCAAATGTGAAGGGTGGGGAGAAAAAGGAGGGGCAGGAATGGGGGCTGGGGGGGTTGCTCCTCCCAAGGTTGCTGCCTGCACTGGGCGCCCTGGACGAATGGCACTCCTATCTCACACACTGAAAGGGGTTGGGGATGATTCGGGAATGGGTCTCCAGGACCCTCCCCTCGACTCCCTCGCGCAGCCGCTTTGGTCCCGCTGCTCTCCCAGCCTTGGCAGCAGCCGGCATGGGGCAGGAGGGGGGTCTGGGTCAGACCGGCTCGCAGTCTGCGGGAAGGCGGCTGGTTCCCGGTGTGTGTTTTACCCGTAGGTACCACAATCCTTTGACTGTGTGGTCGAAAGCCTTGAGTCTATACATTTAAGAATCAGCAAATTAGAAAAATTGTCCTGAAATGTTGGAAGGAGTAAAAAGGCAGGAAGGCAGAGAGGGGGTGGGGAAGGACTGAGAGGGAGGAAGAGAGGGAAGAGGTTGGTAAAAGAGAGTTCATCCAGGGGCACTGCCCTGGCTTTGTGCCCATCACCTGCGGGCTGGGAAGGAGGGAAGAAGGCAAGGACGAAAAGGGAGGACTGATTTCACACATTCAGTGCATATCATACAACCAGGGCAAGGCTTTCCTCCCGGGGCTCCTACCCGGGCCGGCATCACTGCCATAACCAGTCTAGAGCCCTGCCTAGCAGCCCGAACCATACTCACAGCAGGGTTACAATTCACTGCTTCATTGCTCGGGTGAAAGATATCTTCTCCTTTCTTTATCTTTTTTTTTTTTTTTTTTAATTATATATATCTTTTTAAGAACTCTTTTCTCCCTTTTTTGTTTCTTTTTTTTTTTTTTTTTTTTTTTTTAAAGTCTTATAATTTTCTGTAACAGCAGCTTCTTTCTGTATTGGTGTAGAAGTTGTATATAGAGAGATATCTATAAATATATATAAGCCAAACTGCCTTACAGGTTGCTGTTTTGTGGATTTTTTGTTGGTTTGCTTTTTGTTTTGTTTTGTTTTCAGTGTTGTATGTGTAGCAGGCACTTGAGTTTATATGAAGATGTTTGCTTGGGAGCTGAGGGGTAAAGGACTTGGGAGGGGGAGAGGGACGGAAGGAAGGAGCAGGGACTTTTGACAAGTGGCCACTGCTAGCCAAGGATGTCCAGGTAGATTGGTGTGGCCTTCCCCAGAGCATGAAGGATCTTGTAGATCTCCTTGATGTTGAGCCGTTGCTGAGGTTCTCTCTGCCAGCAACCCAACATGATGTCGTACACTTCCTTGGGGCAGACTTGAGGTCTTTCCAAAACTCGCCCTTGGGTAATGCACTCAATGACCTGAAGGAAAGAAAGAAAGAAAGAAAGAAAGAAACAAAAGAGACAGTGAACACCAGATGGGCAGTTCCTGGAGGATGTCCTATCCCAGCTACTTCTTGGCTGATGTGGTACCATCTAGTGAATGGGAGCACTGAGAAGCCAAGAGTTCTGCAGATCCTCAGCACTCACTTTTTTGTGTGTTGTTAATGATAATTTTATAGTGAAAAGTTTGTCTCCAGCCCATTTGACACCTACCTACTTCAATGTACTCTCCAAACAGGACATCACAAGAAAAATAAATGAGGTTTTAATTTATGATGTCAATATTTCCTGCTAATTGAACAAGGAAAAGAAAGCCTTGAAGTCACCAAAGTAAAGTAATATTTTGTGCATCTGAAATTATATTTTTCTTCCCTGAAAATCAAGATGCCTTTCCATTGCAAAGCCCAGGAGGGTTCTACAAGGGAGAGTTCAGAGCATCTTTTCCTACTTCCATCTCCAAGGGCAGCTTTGTCTGATTTTGACATAGAAAAGCAGCTGAAATAATGAAATTTCATCTCAAATCACATCTGTGATGGAGAAAAAAAAAAAAACAACGTATTGGTAACACTCTATTCTGGGTCAGTTTGGTGCTGCTAATGAGAGAAATGTGAGCTTTTGGATAGCATTAAGGTCTCTTCAGAGGATTGCCATTGGAAAGAACTCCCCTAAATGTCTGTATTTTGTTCACTGGGGGAATGGATGCAAAGGGAAAGGAGGTATGATTTGTCAGAAAGCTGCTATTATCTCCTGGCCTCCGTGGTTGGAGTTGAGGAGTCCCAGCACTGCAGTGTGAGAGTGACCTGCCACACTCTGCAGATAAACACAGATCCCTAGCAGTATGTTGAGGGAAGCCACCCAGCAAGGGGTGTTTAGAATTTATCATTTATGAATAGTAATGGTCCTGCCACACAGCTCAATGGATACTTATCGGTTTGCTGTTTGCATATAAATACAGAGGCGAGAGATTAGAACCTGCTGAAAGCAGGGAGGGGAGGAAGATGCAGCGTGCGGAGAGGCTTGTGTTGCCATAAAGCTGCTGGCAGCAGTGGCTGGTGGGAAGAGGTGAGTTATGGTTTCTGAGAGGACATCCTGGACATGCAGAGGAACCCTGTGGTGGGCCCTTTCTCTCCAGGGCAAAGGAAGGGTATAGACAGAAGTTAATAGACTGGCTGAGGCTTTCAGACATGGTGGTGCCCTGCCTCATTCCTCTGCTCAGGCAGGGTCTCTTCCAGCCTTGACAAAACCTCTTAAAAATGCTCTGGGGATATGAGGCCATGCGGTTGCCACAGGATTGCCCAGCAGCAGCAGTGCTCGACCAGCCTGGTGATTGTTCACGGTCCAGCCTTGGGAGCCTGGAGTTGACACAGACTCTGTTAACCGGCCTCTCCGTGGGGCTCTGTAGCTGCGGCCAGGCTGCCTCTGAGATGTGCCTCTGATGCCCTGCCATCCAGGAGCTGGTGGAGGTCAGTCCTCTGCAAGTACCCAGGTTCTGCCCACCGCTCCACAAATTGTGAAAAATGAGCCAGATGAGAGCTAACGTGGCTCCCTCCCACCGAGACAGTGTGGTCTGGGGTGGGAGTTCTCAGCTGTCAGAAAAAAAGTGGGTACAGCAATAGAAAAGGGAAGGACAAGATTTTTTTTTCCAGGGATGGTAACAAAACCAATACAGCTGCAGCTGCGCAGATTTTAACCAGCCCTTGTCCCCCAAGGTTAAGGGTGACTATTCTCAGTCCTACTGCCCTGCAATGGAAACTGAGGCAGAAAACATGGAGGAAGCTGAGCTGTCATATTCCAGCATGCCTATCACCCGCGTAAAAGCTACATGTGCTCATTTCTGTGTGTTTGTATTTACCCTCCCAGGGAAATGCAAGAGCAGCTCATTAAATAGCGTGACAAATAACTTCTGTCGCTGTCAATTCCATTGTTTGTGTCTAAAATGTTTGCGTGTGCTACTTTGGGATATACAGTCAGGCCCCATTGAGCACACGAATGGGCCAGTATTAGAGCTGTAAAACAGCACCTTGGATTTGCCATCTCTGCAACTCACTTAATTAAGGGATCTGTATCCAGAAAGCAGAAAATGCACATTTCTCATTACAAAAGGTGAAATTTCTGAAATCCATTAGATACACAGTAGGATAAAAATGTGCAAGGTTCCCACACACTGCTATGTCAATGCATCTTGTTCCTCTTTTATAATACCCCCTGCTATTCCAAGCAAAAAAAAATCTTCCAATGCATTTCTGCTGATGCGCCTCAAACCTCAGCTCTGACACCCTGCTAATCCCAGCCAGCCTTCCCCCAACATTTTTACAGTTCAGCCTTATACTGATGGACTGCAATTTTTGCTATTCAAATAGATAATAAGGATAAACCAGCTCCTTGGGTTCCACCCTCAATGAACTGGGGTGAACCATATAATAGATATCCCTATGGCAAAAAGCCCCACAGAAATGTGCCACATGCTATGTAACAGACTTCAAACACTTTCTCAAAAACTGGAGACTGAATTAAGAGCCTCAGCTATAAAGGAGAAAGAGAGCAGAGGAAATTTAGGGCATGACAGTAACTTGGATTCCAGCAGTAATTTGGGTATCCCCAGTTCTGATAGCACCTTGAGAGTTTATCACATGGCTGTTATGGAGGTGTGTCAGGAACTTAGAAGGGAAAGAAGGAGGCTGAGCCCTTTGATTCCTTCATGCCTCAGTTTCCCCAGCTCTTAAACAGAGATAATGACACTTCTTCCATGGCTAAGCCATGGGAGTGCCAAGGAGGGGACCACCTATGTGTGAACTGCTTTGCAAGCAATCTGGAAAAGAGAGAGATAGCAAAAAGTAGTTTTCAGCGGAGGTGTCTCAGCACTGTTGTACCTCTGTGTTTGAGAGCTGAAACCAGGGCTGCTTCCCATACGTGAAGATCTCCCAGAGGATCACCCCGAAGCTCCAGACGTCACTCTCCGTTGTGAACTTCCTGTACATGATGCTCTCCGGAGGCATCCAGCGGATAGGCAGCATGGTGTGTCCTCCAACCTGAGTGAGGGCAAAGGCACAAGGAAATCTTAGTGATGAGAGCCCTGAGGAAGGAGTCAGCCCTGACATAATGTGGACAAACTCAGGGCCTCCCTGTGAGCTACATCAACAAGGACATGTTCAAAAAAAGCTGGGATGGCTACTGCGTCCCCGACCGCCCATGGGCTTACCCGCCAATCCCACCTGGTTAATATGATGGATAGAGAGTGAAATGTAGCAAGATAAATGATGCCGTCTCCTCCCAAAATGGGCTTGTAAAGAAATCAGATGACAAAGTGCCAAGAGCATATGCCAACCCTACAGTCTGATGAACCAGGTGGCAAGGCAAGAAACTGTGTTCAGCAAAGTATTGTGCTGAGTTTTGCAGGGCCTCAGTGCTCTGAGGCACCCACCAGAAATACAGAGTGGGGTTTGTTCCTCTTTGGTAAGTTTTTCTAAAAGCCATGCACAGGCATCTGCACATCACCTAATTGCATGAAAGATTTTTGTGCTCATAAAACTGTACTATAGGCCTTTTTAAAGAGTGCTTTGAATATGTAAATGACTGCAGGACCGCACTGCAAAAAGGCGGTCTGTTTGTAAAGAACAAGCTATTACAGGCAGGGATATGCCCAGCATTTACTGGTGGCAGGAAAGCCAGCCCCTTTGGAGAGTCTGGAAAAGGAGGCACCCATGGGTGAAGTCCTATTGGGGTGTGCCAAACCAGAGAAAGGCACTTTTTCAGCCAGGGTCTACCCTTCTCCAGGGGACATAAATCCAGCAGGTATACAGCAGGTTTGCAGAATACACGCAAACAGTTTGAAACCAGATGGATTTACCTTTGGATTCACTAGAGATTTCTAAACAAGTGTCTCTGAGCATGACAAGTTTTTCTCTGTTCTGTCCTTCTACATAAGAAGCACCATCTGTGGGGAAATAGCTAATTGATAAGACCAGCCGGTGCTGGAAGCAGTACGGTTGTAAGTCTCCGGCACTCATTTCTGCTGAGGGTGAAGTGTCTGAGGTTTTAGTGGTGATGAGAAAGAGCACTTTTGTGGCACTGCTTGTCTCATTACGGACGCCAAAAAAGCAAGTGTTACTAACTTTGTAGCACTGCAACTGAATCAAACAGACAGAAATCTCTCTGGTCCTATGAAGGATCAGGTGAGAAGGTAGCTGGTGTCTAGGTTTCCAGCATATGTGTGGCTATTCAAAATAATGAGATTGTTGCACTCGCTTGGATGAAAACGTTTCTTGTACAAACAAAAGCTTTCCTCTGAGCTGCCAGTTTTCCCAAGCTGCCACAGGTTTCTCTGCCTGATTAAAGCAGAACTAGTGTGGGGAAGGGTCAGTACAGAGACACACTGAAGTGCTTGGAAACAAGAGGGATAGTGCTGGGGAGGTGTGTTGGTATAGGGTGTGAAACGAGTATGATGCTTAGCAGGCTTTCTGCATGGAGGATGCGAGTCAGACTTCTCTGGGGTTTGACAGAATTTGGACTCAGGCTTGCAGTGTTGTACTCAAAGGTCTGCAGACCAGTCCTTCCTCAAACTCTGGAATAGACCTTCCCTCAAAAAAAAGAGTTTTTAAAGTGTCAGGAATATCTCTCTTTCCTAAGTGCAGAGGTGCTCAGAACTGCGATGCATGGAGATAAAAAGCTTGTTGCAGTTCTACACCTCCTATTTAGAGATAGCTTGGCTGGTGTGGAGCAGCTTGCTGCTCCAAACTCCCAAAAATATTCTCCCATAGTGGAAATGGAAATATGTTTTTCTTTCTTTGTTCCTTTGAAACCCTGGCTGCAATTTTTAGCTCTTTCCTGCATTCCCAGATATTACAAGTTGCTTTCCCTTCTTGTGAAGGGCTCTGAGGAAATGTTATCATCAAAACAGAACATACATCAAACTTGATTGTTGCAAAAACTGTTTTGTGCTAATGCTTATTTTATTCTCCTTTAAGTAGCACTAACTCTTCAGTTTTCCAGCAATCTCAAAAAGATTACTTATTGCAAAGCTCTCCACATTTGCAATATTCTGAGTCTTGCAGCATCATTTGAGATTATGGGTAGTACAATGTATTGAGCACAGTTAACTCCCTTTTGAACAGGTTTTACAGCAGTTCATAATCTATGAACCAGGTCATCATCTTACACAAACAGTTTTACAGCAGCATTGCTTGAAAGGGAGGCCCCTGATTTACACCACTTGAGGATCCGGCCCTGAAAGCAGAGCAGAGAAGCCAGTAGTCCCATCTCAGTTCTAATAAGCTAAAATAAAGTTGAGGTCTTTGGTCTACTCTAGACACATCCTGGTGAAGAACTGCCAGTAAAGTGACATACACAGCCAACAGTTGTCCCAAGGATGTAACAACACAGTTTTGGCTTAGCCCATATGGTGGAGTCCAGGGACTGCCAAAGCAGTCCTCACAGCCCTGTATGTCCTGTGAGATAGATCTTTTACTAAAAATTAATCCAGTAATAATTACAATCAAATTAATTTGGAGGGAAGAAACCTCTGAGCATTGCCCAGAAATGTATGGATCCCAAAATATGGCTCAGCTATGCTCATAGATAAGGTATTCTTTGAAGAGATATTATTTGCGTCTCAAACAGGGTGCCACATTTTTGAAAGCAAATGTTAAGTAAGGCTTGCATTTACTACCTGGCTATAAGCAGAACAGGCATCAACTAAACTGTACCATAAAAACCACTCCAATGTCTATCCTAGAACACCATTACATTTTAAAGCATCGCCTTTGACTATCCCTTACTGCTTCCTTCGCAAATTGATTAGGATTAAAATTCCCATTTCACAGATGAGAAAACAGATGCAAGAAGGCGAGGAGAGGCCCTGCTCTGAAGCTGTATGGTAAGTGAACGCTAAGTCAAATCTTCCTGGTCTGCAGTCAGATGTACTTTGTTATTTGCTGAGGTAGCAAAATGATTTAGAGCTGAGCACACAGGGATTGTGCTACTGATGCCATAGGAAGCAGAGTGTGTCCAAGGTGACAGAAATCCTTCGCATAACATGTAGTGGCTGTGAATTGTGTTGTGCCACTGTAGACTTGCACGTGAGTCCCACAGCTACATACTTCTTTTACTGGACCAGGCATTGCCAGAAGCATAAAAGTAAAATGATACCATTAAATCAGGCTAAAAAAAAAGGATGCTGTTGTTTTTATTTTATAAATCCAGTTTACACGGCACGTCCTTGGCTTTGGAAAGAATTGTTGTTGTGTCTTTGGTGAAAAGCTGAAGGTTTGTTTCAGTCAAGCCTCTGTTTGCTCTGGGCCTGGCAGGTTTCAGAAATAAGTGACCATCTAGGACTGATGCTTGTCAGAAGTGTGTTACTTCTGAGACTTTTCTAAACCAGTTATATCACCCTCCCACTCCATCTTTCTCCACTTCCCGTGGGAGCCAGTGATGGAGGAGCCCAGCCATCATGCAGGTTCATCTTCTAGAGGCCCTTAAGGGTGGAATGTTCTCAAGCAGTGGCATTGCAACATCTCCCCTGGAGACACTCTACAACCTGAAAGAGGGATTTGCTTTCAAGTAAATAAGGCAAGCAAATCCTCTTCTGTTCTTCTCTTTAAATCCCATGATGCTGCCAAGTTCGCCCTTTCTCCTTGTTATTTTAATGCTTCATAGACCTGCAGACTGGCCTCTTTATCCCATTGCCATGGCTGTCTAGCTTTGCTTGACATTTTTAGCTCTCTAACTTTTTCTTCCTAGATCAACTCCCTGTGCCCACATTGACATATTATTCCCACTGCTTTGCTTTTTCCGTTTGCAGTACTGTCCTGATAATAAATAGAACAACCAGTGCATATCCTCTGAGCAGCCAAAGTTTCCTTCTTCTGTCTCCATTTCAAGATCGCAGTATCACCTACTCATTTCCATCCCTTTCTAATGGATACTCCCAAGTGCATGACCTGGTCTACAGCCACACGTTTCTGATACTCCAGGGCACCTGGCCTCTGCTCTGAAGCCTCATTACACATCCAAGCCCGTAGACTTGCAAGATAACCAGCCACTCCCTTTGAGAAGCTTATTACTGTATTAGATATGGACCTCGGGGAGCTGGGAGAGGTTCATGAAAGGCCAGTGTTAATGGCCATTAGGGAAAGAGATAATTACTTAATGCTAGTACAGCACTTTGACAATGTAAAGCTATATAAGTGTTATGTACAAGTAGTATTAAAAGGCTTGAGGTTTGTCTGCTACCAAGGAAAGCTGGAGTCTGGGGAAAAAAATCTCCTTGTCCCAGATTTCTGAATGACATCCAGCTGATTAGGAAGGGAAAAGATGACATGTTATCCCCCGTGAGCTTGACAGTACAGCAGCAGGTAGTGGAGTAGCAGTGTTCAGCAAAGACTGTGCAAGATATCCACAGTTTGGGCCACTAACAGAGATACCATGGAAATCAAAACCAGAGGAGGGCTGAAAAACCCACATGAGAACTTTGGGCTGGTGGGAATCCAAATACTAACATGTTAAAGGCAGCTCTTTGTGGGCAGCCCTGTTTTCCCCCTCCCAGCTCACATACTAGCTCCAGGGCTGTAGCCCAAAGCAACATTCAGCAGGGAGATACTGGGCTATCCCCTCCATGCTCACAGCTGAAGGTTGCTTCAGGGATCTCAACTAAGAAAGGAATTTGGTCTCTGGCATAATCGAAGGCTGTGGTTTATTTTCCTTCTTGTGCAGTTTCCTTCCCAACTTTGAAATAAAACAGAAAATAAATCAGTGCTTTTGTTTTCCTTGGTCATTTGACGTTTGCTTTCCAAGGTCATCTGACAGCTTTCTTCCTGTTCCTGGCATACTTCAGGGAGGCTCTGCTGCTCCTCCCTTGGGAAAGTCACAAGAACCACTGTAGGTGTCTTCATATGGTGCAGCATTATTTGAACTTCCCTTTTTATGTGCAGAAAGCTGAGACATTTGAGCTTGTACAGAATCACGTAGCCGTAGTGAAGACCTTGGCACCACTTCTCTCCAGGAAAATCCACTCAACACTCAATACACTCGACCT